CAAGCTGCATCGAAGCAATACCCATATTATGCAAAAATATCAACTTTGAAAATTGCCCTTTTTACCTGACATTGACCTGACCTTCACCAGAAAGTGACCTGAACCGTTTCTGATGGTCTGATAACCAACACCATTGAGTTGAAAATGAAAAATTGCCATAAAACATGCATCGCACAGTCCTAGTATTGGGTTTATGTGGTGACCCTTGGTGACCTGGCCTGTGACCTGACCTGGTATTATCAGTGGCCTCTAATAAAATATATGTAGGGGAGAGTGGGGTAATTTGGCCGCTTTTTTACAAAACGATGTAACTAAAAATCGACCCCTAGTGAAAAAATCCTACAGGATTTGTACCAAAATCCTGTACGTCCTTACAGGGTCGTGCAGGGTTGCTGGAGTAGCCGTACAGGATTTCATGCAGGCAACTATGGCTGTACATAGAATCCTACAGGGTGCCCTGCACGACATCCAACAGGGGACCATGTACTGAATCCTACAAGGAGCCCTGTACGGTATCTGATTGGGAGCTCTATAGGGAATCCTACAGGGCCCTGTAGGGAATCCTTCAGGGATCCCTGTATGCAATGACTACAGGGAGCCCTGTGCGCAGTCATACAGGGAGCCCTGTGCGCAGTCATACAGGGAGCCCTGTACGCAGTCATACAGGGAGCCCTGTACGCCGTCATACAGGGAGCCATGTACGCACCCATGTGAAAAAGTCTTATAACACTATCTTGCATGATCTTATAAGATTTTGAAGGCAGTCTTGCAAGGCCTAGCAGAGCTTGTACAAGATTGGCCAACAGATTACAGATTACAGATTACAGATATATTCAGACAAGGTCCTCTCAATAGTGAGGCTTTTCACATGTCCACGTCATTATAGTGTGATACAAAACGAGGAACAGTGTGCAGCACGCATAATTCCCACACACGCACCCATACATGCTATTGCTCATGTCTGTTGCTTAGACAGCAGCACCTTTCGGATGTTCGCCCGGTACGACAATGTCCCTGGTTCTACTCCAAGTTCGTTCATACGAGTCACACCTCGGTAGCACAATCTACGTCTTCCCGACTCCGTTCGAATGAAGGGGAGGGTGAGGTAGCTGGCCTGCCTAGTGTTGTGCCGGTGCCGCTGGCTAGCCCGCTGCCCCAGCGTACCCTTGAGGTACTCCGGCTGCTCCGACACAAAGATACGCTCGACAGCACTCACTGTGTGGTATGTTACCAAATCCTTGGCAGTCAACCACTTCAGCTGCTTGATGACAGCCGCCACGCTATCACGTCGTCGCCGACCGGACACAACGCGTGCACAAAAGTTTATAACTTTTTGCAGCCGTCCTAACTGCACCTCACCACACGAGCCGTACACCGACAGACAGTACCGCAGCACAGATACAACCAGGGCTTCAACTATCGGCTTCAGTGCTGACCGCGGTATAACGTGACGAGCGTGCAGTAGCGCTGTCAGCATCCCGGTACATTTCCGCGCCACACCGTCTACATGGGACACAAAGCTGAGGTGACGGTCGATCGTCACTCCTAGATTTTTAACAGTTTCTGACTCTGTAATGGTGGTAGAGCAGAAAGTCAGCGTGACAGGCGGCAAATTGCGAAGCATCGCTGGGGTACCGATCACAAGCATCTGTGTTTTCGCAGCTTAAGTCTCATTCCATTGTGGCAGAACCACTGATACATTCGACCAAGTGCATCCTCCATACGCGCGGTCAACAGATTCAAGTCGCTCTTCTTGCCAGTAACCATCAGCTGGGTGTCATCAGCATACTGGACTACTGTGACGTCATCGGGAACACACAGACACAGATCGTTTGAGTACAGCATGTACATGAGACAACTCAGGGCGCCGCCTTGGTATACGCCAATCGCGTTAGCCTTGCTGTCCGACAGCAGTGTCGAACCGTCCGCGCACCTCACTTGGACCTGCTGCGAGTGGTGAGCCAAATAGGCACGGAACCATGTGGTTTCGATACCGTACACAGACAATTTGTCGAGAAGTGTAACATGAGGAACAACATCAAAACATTTTGAGAGGTCTAGTAGTACCAAGATACAAATGTTACCATTGTCCATTGCCTGAAGAGCATGATCAGTAAAGACGTGAAGCGCGGTTTCCGTTGAACGTTGTTTTCTATAACCGTGTTGGGCGTCCGAGAGAAGGAAATTTTCTTCGAGATAAGAGACCAACTGTTTTTGCACGACACGTTCAACTAATTTCATAATCGCAGGCAGGATGGAGATGGGACGCGTGTCCGACGGCTTGGTAGCCCTCGTTCCTTTCGGAATTGGGGTAACCAGAGCGTGTTTCCAGTCCTGCGGTACTACTCCGTTAGAAAGGCTGGAGTTCACAACATCCAAAACCGCATGGCCAATCCCGGGAAAGAACTTCTGTAACATGCGCACACTGACACCGTCCTTGCCAGTCGACATAGATGGTTTCATCGACAGCAATGTGGCATAAAGAGTGTCCAAATCGGTAGGTTGTACCTCAAACGCACACGTCAAAACTCTCGGGAGTCGCGTGGGCACACGTACAGTAGCGGCGGGGACACTGGCTGCAGTGGAAGGACCGATCGCAACATAATAATCATTCAATGCATTCGGCGTGATTCTCGGTATCTCGCAGGACTGCTGCTTCCTGCCCACGACCGGCCGCAGCACTCGCCACAGCCCGCCCCGGTCACCGCGGCTGATAGCACCAGCATACCGCGCGCGGGTCTCGTTCCGCACGGCGGCGCGGTACAGCCGGTTCACCCGTTTGTACTCGGCTCGATCGCCCCGAGCTAAGGCCGCGCGGCGGGACTGCAGCAGCTGCTGGGTCTCGGCTGACACGGGCGGCGCAGTCACCTGCCTATCACGGACGCGTTTGAGCGGTGCGACAGCATCCAATCGTTCAACGAACGTGTCACGGAAAACGCTCCACTTACGCTCAGTCGAGTCTGAGAAATACACAGGAGACCAATCGGTATCAGCAAGCTGCTGATTAAACGAGTTTGTATCTATCCTGCTGATAGGGCGTCGGTACACACTGGATTCCCGGCGTGGCGCCGCACGACTCTCACGACTGACCATAACACGAGTGAAGTCATGCGGACCTCCGTAGTGACACCTGGTGACACCGACACGTCTGATCAACTCCGGACGGTTAGTAATGACGACATCTAGCAGAGACCCGGCCGGACGATAAGTAGCTCGACACTGGTTGGTGATGTGGAGTCCATAGGTGGTACAGAGTCTAATCAGGGGGTTGGTGTCACTAGTCTTCGCCTTAACCCGCGCACCGACGGGGGGGGCGGATATCCGCCCCCCCCCCCTGAGGTTTTTCGCGAATAGCGGGAAAACCGCGGCGCGTAGCGCCGCGAAATTTGGTATGACTATTCCCTTATCAATTTTACACATGGTGTGCAAGTTTGAACCTCCTACCTTTCAAGGTCAGGTCACCAGGTCACTTTGAATGACCCAACCTCAAGTCACTTTTTTGCAACTTTGTCACCGTGCCAGAGCTACAGTAGATGTCGGAGGCCTTTGAAAGTCGCAGGATGTTATTAGGTCATTAGTAGCTACAATTTGTATATCTCGGAATTTTGATATCGGTGACCTAAGGTCAGGTCAATTTCGCGACCTCCCCATTATAAGTCAATGGGGGAAAAATCAACTCCCTGTTTTTACCACTAAAACGGGTCGGAATGGCCCCATATACCATACATGACTTCATATACGATCAACCTTCACTACCTTGAGGTCTGTTTTGCTGTTGGGCAGCTGTAAGGTCATGTGACGTCATCAAAGGTCACCAAAGGTTGTTGGCCAATAACTCCGTACAGGAACAAGATACAGACGCGTGGATGGTCTCATTGTGTTCAGCTCGTCAAGACGCATCGAATGATATACATGATGACCTCGAGGTCACGTGACCTGAGGTCAACCTTTGACCTTGACCTTTCGAGGTCAACATATATATCATTCGATGCGGATTGACGAGAGGATCACGATGATGCCCTTAGTTTGTTTCTATCTTGACTAATTCGAAAGTTATTCGAGAAAAACTCTCTCCATATTTAGCGCCGCCATTTTGACTTTTTCGACCCCTGTGACGTCATCTTTGACCTGACCTGAAAATGACCTTAGTAAAAATTGTAGATCTTGACCGTGCGTATCCGATGCCGTTTACCGCTTGTCGCTATCTTGCTTCGTTCTCGAGATCTCAGGGGGGGGCGGTCATCCGCCCCCCCCCCCCCCGTCGGTACTAAGTTGGCGCAGACCCCCGTCGGTGCGCGGGTTAAGTAGACAGCAGTTGAGGTCGCCTCCGAGGATAAGTGTTGCTCGTGGGAACATCATACATCATACAGAGCTTATAAGAATCTGGCATAGGCAGATTCTCGCGAGAATGCTGATTCTGGTCAGATTGAAGAATCTTACAAGAATGTGCTGATCCCATGGAAGGCTACTCCCGCTAATCGTTTTTCGCATAAATCATAATTAAAGAACTCGGTTAACTCTGAAGCAAATGCGATCATTTGCTCCACACGGACTACGTGGAGAACAGTTGTAAACGATGCACCTGTCAAGTAAAGTATGAGATTGAGGACTGAGGAATACCTACCTAGGGAGAAATGCCTCGCCCCGGTGCGTTGATATGTTGGACAATGGACATTTTTCTCAATCTGCAACCTACCGGGATTTATTCATCTCCTCAGGACGGTACTGCTCATTATTAGAACTGGCGGGGACATAAACATTCGAATGTTGTTGTCAACATTGTCCCGATATATAGGGAATTACGAATTGTGAATTGATCCCTATAAAAGAATCGATTCACTTCATAACTCCCTAATCCTTTCATAACATTATCATCTTAATTTGACGCGTTGAGCTGTACCGTTTATTATTCGGGGACTAAAGTGTGCATTTGTGCGCTGTGGTGATCTTTCAGAGACTGTACCGACTGGAATTTAGGTACCACTGTCCGTTTTAGAGACCGTACGGTCGGCGGCGGGCGTCCCGATCCTCGCCTGGGGCGGAGAGGGGAGCGCGCGTCCCCCTCCGCCGCATTCCGTCCGTCCCATTCACTGCTCGCTCGCGGTGTGCGGAGAGCCGACGGAAGTGTCGAGTGTGTGCCGTGCGGTGTCATCTGCCGTCTCCTCTTCCGACCTGCAGGTAAGTTTCTGCCATGCTGTATTGCTGTGTAACAATAAAAATATTTTACTTTCGACGGCAGGGGTCCCTTCAATCAATATTATTATCATTGTAACATGTGAATATCCACCTTGTTACAGGAACGCAGGATGCGAGGATCGTCGGGCGACACCACCACTCGAGATTCGTAGATCGATGGACGGAGCGGCAGCCGCGACGCGACGACGTGTGTCGTAATGTGTCGGGATGTGACCCGGAAATGGCTGTGTATTTATCCCAGAAATACATTTATTCCGAATATTGACTTTGTCGGTAACGCGGGAACTCGTGGGTCTTTTTAGCATTCCTGGTCAACCGGCTCAAGATGCCCGAGTCGGAGATGCCCGAGTCGGAGGTGTGCTGAGCCGCTGTTTTCAACAGCGGCTCAGCACAATAACAAGATGCGGAATACTTATAGAATGGCGAGTGTGGTGCCCTGTACGAGATCCTTTACGATACCCTGTACGACACCGTGCACGGTACCCTGTACGAAGAACTCGGTTAACTCTGAAGCAAATGTACCCTGTACGGCGTCGTACAGGGTACCGTGCACGGTATCCTGTACGAAACCGTGCACGGTACCCTGTACGAAACCGTGCACGGTACCCTGTACGACACCGTGCACGGTACCCTGTACGGCGTCGTACAGGGTACCGTGCACGGTATCCTGTACGAAACCGTGCACGGTATTCTGTACGACACCGTGCACGGTACCCTGTACGACACCGTGCACGGTACCCTGTACGACACCCTGTAGGAACCCTGGTAACAATTTCGTCAAAAATCCTGTAGGGTCAACCATACAGGGCTACCCTGTAAGATTTTTTCATTAGGGACAGCACATTTCTGCATTTTCTCAACGCTGACAGGTGTGGCATACAGTTTACTTTCTTGGACAGTAAACAATGATAGAGTAACTACTTATATTGAAATTGTGGCGTATTACAAAGGTCTGCAAAGCGGCCAAATTGCCCCACTAGCAGGGTTATTTGGCCGGGGGTGTGGGGCAATTTGGCCGGTGTTAGTTTGAGGCCATGATTTTTGTTATAGGCGAGTCAGCTTCACATTCAGCAATGACGCGTGTCCTACGACGCATTTGAAGCATTTTGGAGGTTGACTCAGCCGTCACAGGGGTCGAAAATAGTCAAAATAGCGGCTATAGATGCGATGACAGTTTTTTACGAATAGCTTTTGAAGTAATCAAGCTAGGCCAAAACTAAAAGTATCATCGTAATTCTCTCGTCATTCCGCATCGAAACATGTATGTGTTGACCTCGAGAGGTCAAGGTCAAAGGTTGACTTCAGGTCACGTTACCTCAGGTCGCTTGACCTCAAGGTTACGTGAGTTCAAGGTCAGCATTTATATCATTCGATTCGCCTTGACGAGCTGAACACAATGACACCATTTGCGCGGCTGTATCTTTTTTTTCTGTAAGTATTTATTAGCAAAAAAGCGTTAGGTAACCTTTGATGACGTCAAATGCCCTTACAGCTGTCCAATAGGAAATACTAGGGTGACCCGCGTGCTCCGCAACGCGAAAAGGGATATTTTCGATCGGCGGGTGTTCGGTTGTTCTTGTGTCGGTTGGGTTATCTATCCATTTCGGTCGATTGCTTTCTGACGGCTAAACGTTTTGGTTTGTGGAAAAAATATCCACCGCATCGAGGTGCCCGTGTCTGATAAGCATCTATATTACTATTTGAGGAGGGTGCGTCTGTCCGTTACCGAGGTCTCGACTTGGTGCTGCTTTGCGTGGACTACAGGTCAGACCGTTGCACCTAGCCCGGTGAAATTTGCACAACTTATAGATCAAGGATGCGCGACGTGCCTTTGAGGTGTCTTTTCTCGATCGGATTGATAGGGAGCGCGTGGCGCGTGCTCAAAAAGTGCAAATTCGCGTCATAGACTTTACATGTATAAATCGGCGTGCGAAATCGGGCGAAAACGGCTAATTTTGGCCGACACGGTTCCGGTCCCGGTGCAATATCTTGGTGACCAGGGGTCCGACCGGCACGGGGAAAACAACATCGTGTACAGAATTGAACGGGCTATTGAATGGTGTGCAATGCAGAGGATAGCACGCGCTACGTGCACCGGAGAGGGCACTTTCATTTGAAAAATTGCGGTTTTTGAGGGATTTTGGAATTGATTTTATTTTTAGGTGACCGTTAAACGGAGCGAGTTGAATCAACGCCTATTTGCAAAAGAAAGGTACCGCCTCTCATATAAAAATTGTGAAAAGCTGATTGATCCGAATCAAGGTGGTGCAAATCACAGGAGAAAATGGTGTTTGTCAATTTTGTGCCACTTTATTAATCACACGGGGTTTGCTGCATAACCTGATACCTTTGGCAATTGAATATGGTACCATTGGATAGAGCATTCAATTCTGTCCAATATTCACTCTTCATTTTTGCATGATTAGCAACAGTATCCTTAAAAATGTAAATGTTCCAAACCATTACATTGTCATTTTTAGCGAAATTCATCGATGGCCATCAAAAGACTTCACGCCAGTTTTCGTATCATTCTAAAGTAGAACGCATGATAATACCATAGAGATCTTATATACATGTATATAAGATCTCTCTAGATAAGATAAGATAAGATCTCTTATGTATATAAGATCTCTATGGATAATACGACACGGGCACCTCGATGCGATGTATCTTTTTGTTTTCTTACAAAATGCTTGGCCGTAAAAAAGCAATCGAACGAAATGGATATCTACCAACCAAATCGACACAGACCAACCCAATACCCACGGGTCAAAAAATCCCCCCTTTGCGTTGCGGAGCACGCGGGTAACCCTAGTGCCTTCCACTTCAGAATCTGTCAAATGTGCTTTATAATTTAGGCGCGTAGTTTTATGACAAATTAAAGGCGTAGATAATTTTCACTAAAAATCGTTTTGCAGAGGTTTGAAACATTTATATTTTTAAGAATACTGTTGCTTGTCATGCAAACGTGATGATTGGATCTTGGAGAGAATTGAATGCTCTTTCCAATGATAGCATTTTCAATTGTCAAACGTATCAGGTTAAGCAGCAAAATCCGTGTAATTATTTAGTGGCACATTTTGGACAAATACCATTTAATTCAGCAATTTTTCCACATTGTTTTTGATCAATTAGCTTTTCACAATTTTTCCATGAGAGACGGTACATTTGTATTGCTAATAGGCGCTGTTTGAACTCATTCCGTCTGACGATCACCTGAAATTAATATAAATTCCAAAATCCGTCCAAAACGTCCATTTTTCAAAAGAAAGTGTCCTCCCCGGTGCACGTGGCGCGTGCCAACCCCTGCACCGCACACCATTCGATAGCCCGTTCGATTCTCTACACGATGCTGTTTTCCCCGTACCGGTCGGGCCCACGGTTACCGAGATATTGCACGGGAACCGGACCCGTGTCGGGCAAATTTAGCCATTTTCGCCCGTTTTTTCAAGCCGATTTATACATGTAAAGTCTATGACGCGAATTTGCACTTTTCAGGCACGCGCCACGCGCTCGCTATCGATCCGATCGAGCTGAGACCCATCAAAGGCACGTTGTCCATCCTTGTTCTATGAGTTGCGCAAACTTCAGCGCGGTAGGTGCAACGGTGTGACCTGTAACCCGCGCTACGTAGCACCATGTCGCGACCTCGGTTACAGACAGAAACTACGTCACCACAAATAGTAATATAGATGGCATCAAGGTAGTCAAAGTTGGTCATGAATTATGTCCTTTATGGTATAATTGACCATGACAAGTCGGCCGTCCCAGCATAGTGACTCTGAGCGCACCGGCCAAGTTGCCCCGCTAGTCCCGGCCAAATAACCCCACATTGCCATTCTGAAATTTTTGTCTATAAAGTCGTCATGGCTGTACAGAACTAGATGAAATTGTTCTTGGAACCGCTGAACACCCTCAAAAATGGCGCTATAATGTTGGAATTCGTTTACAGCCCAAATACTACATGTTATACAAATTTTTAAACGAAAGTAAAAGTTACCATTTTCTAACGAAATTCACCTTTTATTAATTTTGAATAAAACTAAAAGGGGGAAAGTTTTGACATTTGTTCTCGAGTTAGTTCTGCCGATGACAAATGAATAGAGACTAAAAATATTTCATTCACTTTTATCAGCTTTCGTACAGGTGGGGGCGGCCAATTTACACCACCGGCCAAATTACCCCACTCTCCCCTACTAGGCAACAGATACCCTATCCCTGATTTTCGATAAAATGCTTTTTACTCGATGCTATAGCGCATTCCCTAGAAGACCCGTGAACGGCCAAACCTTTTATCTTTGACCAGACCTGTGACGTCATTGGTGACCCCCAGGTCAATGAAATTAGATTACCCTCGACAAATTTGACAGGGTTTTCGAACAACGTTTGAATTTTGCGGATCCACCCAGTAGTTTCGGAGATACGGGGGGGGGCAAAAAATGCCCCTCCCCCTCCCCACCGCGCGGAAGGTGGCCGGGAGGCCCACTGCCTGCCGGGTTAGGGGGTGTTGCATCAACCTCGCCCCCTGGCCCGGCGACGGTTAAGTTTTTTTTTCTAAGCATATCTTCATTTCCAGCCTAAGCTCATCCTAATAGTACATATTTCATTTATTTCATACACGCGAACAAAAATGTAGGATTCGAATCAAAGTCGCATAACGGCAAAGACTGTGAGATCGGCATCTCAGTCAGTAAGCCTTCAGGCTGAAACAAGGGCTGAAACAAGCTTTTTTTCCTTTAGATCTGACGATGTCGCTTTAATCAATCACCGTGGAGAGAGAGAGATTGATTGAGAGAGAGATTGAGGCAAGCAAGACCTTATATGCTTAAAAAGGCTCTTGAAGGCGATCTCCTCACTGCTAAAAGAGTGTGTTCCAGCCAGTTGACACTTCAACGGGTGCTGTTAGATTTATGAGGTAGAAATGAGCGTACACCTTGTACATGCAACACAAGCAAAGAACAACTAAACACGTCTTGATGCACAATGCAAATCCTCATAACTGCATATATGCCTGATCTAGGTACTGCTGCTTCTAAAAAAAGACCAGCAAAAACCTGTGATAAAGACGAGCGATATGCCAAGCAGAGCCGTATCGTCTCGGCCGACCAGAGCTGGGGCACGACAGTAATGGCTTCTCCTCCTCGAACGCGGCACACAAGATCGAGCATCACTCTGCCACTGGACGAGCACGACGTCCGTGCATTCAGCAGTAGACGGCATCTTCCATGTTGTCCAGGAGCCAGTCCAGGAACGAGTAGACTCGGGTGAAGACAGCCGGCACCCCAGGCTGGCCGCAGCCGGTGCGGTTGGTGGCGATACCAATCAACGTGAACCGGTCACGGTCATACCACGTCCTGATTATCAGTGGACCGC